GGTTAGTGGAATGAATATTTAAGTTAAGATTATAGCATTTTCCACATCCTTCTAGTGGAGGGAATAGAAGTGTCATTTGTGTTGGAGGGATGTGGGGTGCTCTCGCATAGAAGGTTATATTGCTTCTCAAGTTTGTTGTGCTTTTCAATTAAAACACAATACTTGTCATTGAGTGCAATATTTGCCTTCTTTGTGAGAGCATGTTCTCTTTGTTCTTCGGCTAAGGCCTTGCTCAAAGAGTCTAACTCACTTCTCTCTAACTCAAGAGCTTTCTTGCAGCCAATATATATCTTTTTGGTTTCCTCAAGACAATCATCTCTATCGGCTAGCTCGGCTTTGACACTTTCTAATTCTCCCATTAGATTCATGATAAAGAGCTTGGTTTTAGAATCTAACTTTTTAGTCAATTTAGCATATTTCTCAACATCACTAGTATCATCATCACTAGAATCACTAAGTTCACTACTAGAGATGTCACTAGGAGGTGGAGGAGATTTGGTTCTTCATTTTACCTTCTCACCCTTTGCCATAAGACAAACATGAGTGGAGCGGTGGTCATCATTATCGGACATGTTGTTGAAAAGCCTTGGTGTAGAGGAAGATTTTTGAATGGCCACGGTTGCAACCTTCACATCCTCTTCACTTGACTCTTTAGTTGAGTCCCACTCATGCCCAATCTGTGCCTCTCCCATTTGCTTGTATCTCTTTTTGTGTTCATGCTTGTCCTCATTGTTGTCCCTCTTGTATTTGTTTTCTTTCTTGTCATAGAGACACTTAGCAACGAAGTGCTCCGTGCTGCCATAATTGTAGCAAGTCATCTTCTTCTTATTTGGAAACCTTCTTTGCACTATCTTATACCCATTCTTTTTCAACCCCTTGTGATAGGTTTTCATGAACAAAGCCATGTCATCAATCTTCATATAATCAGCCCCATCATCTTCATCTTCACTTGAGTATGAACTTGGATCATCATTTTGTAGAGTTGACTTGATTTCCTTGAGTTTACTTATTGATGCTTGCTTGCTGCCCTTTGCCTTGTTGGAGGTGCCTTGATTGCTTGATTTATTTGCCTTGAGAGCCACTTCCTTTATTTTCATGCCTTCTAACTTGGCTTGCAACTCACCAAGTCTTCTCCTCTCATTTGCTTCTTCTCTTTGCATGTCAAATGTCAATAATCTTCCAAGCACATCATTTGGTGTGAAGTGCTCAAACTTCTTATCTCTAATCAAGGTGACTACGGTCTCATTTCTTGGTGAGTAAGCTTCCAATATAACTTTCACCACTTTGTGATCATCAAGCTCATCACATCCATAGCCTCTAATCTTGCCCACCAAGATCATCAATCTATCAAACATCTCTTGTGGCCCCTCTCCATGAACAATCACAAACCTATTGAGCTTGGCCATCAATAAATCAATCTTTGCCTTCCTTACTTTATCAACACCTTCATGTGCTAGATGCAAAGTGTCCCAAATCTATTTTGCAACATTGACATTCATCACTCGGTTGTACTCATTTCCATCCAAGGCACTAAGAAGAATACTTGTGGCTTGGCCATTGAGATGGACAGCAGCTAGCTCTTCATTTGTTGGTGCTTCGGGATCTTCCGGTGGCTGCAATCCATTTACCACAATCTCCCAAAGACTGGGGTGAAGACCTACAAGATAGGCACTCATCAAGTGCTTCCACTTGGCAAAGTTTGTCCCATCAAAATGAGGCAACTTGCCCGCGGGTACATTCACAAAAGACCTTTTGTTATGGTTAGATAAATAAGAATAATTAAAGGATACGGCGGCATATTTGCTTTTGTTGTTGTTGCTGCCCTTGTCCTTACTATCCTTCTTTTTGTCCTTGCTCTTCACCTCCTTGCTATCTTTTGAAGCATGGTATGACACATCATCATCTCCATCGTCTGAGCTACTAGAGAGCTCACTAGATGATGCATCATACTCATTCTTCTCTTTATCTTTAGCTCTTGCTACCCTTCTCTTAGCTCTTGCCTCTCTTGTGATTCTTCTAGCTTCTTTTCTCTTTTTCTTATCTTTGAGCCGCTGCTCTTCCTTCTTCTTTTCTCTAGCTTCTCTTGTTGCGATCTTGGCGGCTTTTCTTTCTTTTCTTGCCTTTCTTCTTTCGGCATTGGTGGTCTTGGATTCTTTGATGGTGGCATCACTCGTTGTGGACATGGACAGCTCACTGCTGCTGCCGACATCCTCAACGTACACACCACTTGCTTCCACAACGCGAACGGACTTTGAACCTTCTCCTTCTTCCATACTTCACGCGGTGAAGCGTATACGAAGCAACCACGCTCTGATACCACTGTAGGATCTACTAGAAGATAAAGAAGACCTAGAGGGGGGGCGAATAGGCCTGTAAAAATTCAACTCTAAACTCTGTTAGAACAGAGGGCGGCACTACCAGCCTTGTAGGGCGGCACTGCCGCTCTACGAAAAATAATCTAACATAGTTGAGATTTAACAGAGATGAACCTAACCCCACTAGCTGCTTAATCCTACAATATAGAGTCAAGATCCAGTTCAAAGACTGGATACCACAGAAACTTCACACAAAAGTGAATCGGGCAACTAAACCCTAACAACAGCTAGCAATAATATAAACAGCAAGTATAGTGAAGAGGAAGCACGCGAGACACAAAATTTATCCCGTGGTTCAGCTCACCACTAAGGTTTGCCTAAGTCCACGTTGTTGAGGAAGCCACAAAAGGCTTGAGCTTGCCACAAAGGCTTGCTTTACCCTCGTTCTAAAATCAAGAGTGTGAACTCTTGAAGTGAGGGGTGATTTTTTAGCTTTCGAATGAGGTTATAAACCTCCCAAGGCTGCCACACGAGTTGGCAAGCACAAGGACGACGCCTAGCCGGCTAGGAGTAAGCTCCAAGAGTAACAAACCCTAGAACCATAGGCCAAACGTGAACCAAATGCTCTTACACTTTTGGAATCAGTAGATCTCCTCTCCAATCGAGTTTTGCTGCCTTTTCTCTCAAGTTTTGATGATTGAAATCAAGAATTAGCTCGAGGGATGGAGGAACAACAATGGAGGAGAGGGGTGAGCTTTGGTTCTTTCTGTTTTCGAGTAGAGTGAGTCAGTGGAGAAGATGACCGTTGTGGGCCGGGCCTGAAGGGTATAAATAACCCCCGAGCCCAACGGTCAGTTAAGGGCGGCACTGCCGCTCTTAACAGGGCGGCACTGCCGCCCTAGCCAAAACAGGTAATATGATATGAAATTTGGCTGGCTGTTTTGACTAGGTGGGAGGATGTAAATCTGTAAATTTGAGCTTCTGATTCAACAGTTGACCAACTGTCCTAAAATCCTTCTTGATAGTACGGCTTTTCCTAAACTCAAATTCAAAACTTAAAAGAATTTAAACCTCCTTAGAGCTAGGTCGAGCCACCTTTTGTAATTTGGACATCTGCAACCTGTTCATCATCCTCATTCTTTGATTCCCTGCTTATCATTTCGATAAATCTCATTAGTCCTTTAATTTGGTGGTCATAAATACCAAAACCCACAATAGGGCTTGATTGCACTTACATCCTTCCCTCCCCAAGGCTTGCTGTTAGACTCCGTTTCTTTTAGGAGAAATTATAAAGAGCAGAGAAGAGAATGCATACATCTTATAATGCAATTAAATGGAACAAAGCTGCATGTGTTTGCTTCAATTTGAGAGATTAATACAAAAGCTTGCATATGCAAAAGCCATGCTAAACTGAGATCCTTTTCTATACACCAAGGTTCTCTATTTCTAATTTCATATACAAAAATTTGCATCAACCATCAGCAGCCTTGTATCCACAAAAGTGAGTACGATTAATGGGGAACCTTTTGCACATAAGAAGGTTCTCTTTCCCATTTCATATATAAAAAAGATACGATTTTCTAAGATATATTAATCATATCGAATTATATCTTTTTTGTACGAAATTAAATGAAGATAATTTTTATATGAAAATTATAGATCTCGACGAGATCTACAACTTTCTAGTTTTGAGTTTTTTTATTTGAAGTCGTTATGATGCTCAAAAAAATTAATGGCATATTTAGACCTAAGGGTGTTTTTGACTTTTCACACCTACAGTTTGACACCATTAGGGTGAAATTTGACGGAAGTGGCATGGAGGGTAAAAAAATTTGGAGCAGTGTCACTGAAATCCGCCAAACTTTTTTAGTGACGCAGAAGGATTTACGATCTTTTTATGATGGCTCACAAGTAAAAGGCTCTTGCTTATATTCTTCTTGTTCCCTTTGTTTTTCTTTTCTTCTAAAATCTTTTAGTCCAAGATTTCTTTGGTTTTGATCCACCTTTTTGCTTTTCTTTCTTCTTTAGACCAGTTATTACATGTGTATATTGGTCAGGTAAGCTGAATGTTTCTTGAACACTAGAGTTTTTTTTCAGCATTAATGTAAGGAGTTCCTTTGATTTTTTTTTTCTTCAACACATGTCGCCAAAGCTTCTGATTTTTCAGGCTCCAAAAAGCAGAGAAGATAGGCGTCGAGACTAGTAGTGGGCAGTCCATGCTTTGCCCTTGGATTTGCTATGGACGATCAGGATGGTGGACTGCGAAAGTTGCAGCCCCTATAGGAACTGCACCGGATCCAGGTCCTGTGACTCCCCCGGAGGGAAGAATTTGCACCAAACCAGCGTCCTCTGCCCGCGTTTTCAGGGGTGAGGACCGGAAAGCAGAGCCCGCGCCCACACGCCGCGACCACGATATTCTCCCGACCGATGGACACGCCAACCGCCAAGCCGAGCGCATCCGTAGAGGAAAAGGACACACGTAAGGGACATTGCGGCGAGCACGACGTCGTCGCACCTCGGGCCGCCTCCGTTTAGTTTCCCTCTCCCATAAAACCTCCCAACCCTCATCGAGTTTCAGTGGACGCCACGCGACGACACGACCATACGTGTAGCACAGCACGGCATCGGCGTGCATTCGCATCTGCAACTGGACGGATCGGTGGTTCGCCGGTCCACGCGCAACCGATGAAGATGACCGCGCTCGCCGTGCTCGCGGCCGCCGCCGTCGTCGCGGCGGCCGCGATCCTATCCTCCCCGGACGCCCGGAGCGACGTCGCGGTGCTGGAGATAGGCGGTGGCGACAACGGCCGCGTGGAGCTGGTCCCCGTGGACGCCGGCGCCGCGGGGCCCGAGAGCCTGGAGTTCGACGGCGGCGGCGGCGGCCCGTACGCGGGCGTGTCGGACGGGCGCGTCCTTCGGTGGGTCCCCGGCGAGCGGCGGTGGGAAGAGCACTCGTCCTCCTGCGCGCCGGAACTGTACGTACACGTCTCGCCATCTTCTGGTCTCTGATGAATTCTTTCTTTCTTTCTTTCGTACCCGGCACGCATGCAATCCGGTTCTCTTCTTCCTTGCGATCTGTTCTGCTCCGTGTTGGCCTCGTCACTCGTGTGCGCTCAGAGAGGTACAGTTTCTGGCTTTGGGTTGATGCCACTGTACGTATGAGTCAGGGTCCGGGTGGGTGCAACGTCTATCTACCCATTGACGACCATCACCACGTCGCGCTCCTACCCTGCCCGTCGGAGTAAAAAATTTAACCAATCGCATGCAAGTTGCAGGGCAGAGGATAATGCGTGCGTCGTCAATTCGTATGTGTGGGTGTGGTGCAGTGCAGTGCAGCAGCACAGACGGTGCAAGACTATTGTTGGCTCGTTGCAGTTGCACCGAACAGAGAACAGCGCGCGAGCAGTGGCCGCGACGGCTCCACCACCCGCATCCGGCCAAGCACCGCAATCCCCATCGCCCGCCTCAGTCGTCTGTCCTCACGCACGCGCTTGGCCATGGACTCACGGTCGGCCGTAGAATTGCAGGCGGAGCGGGTTGTTAACGTAACCCGGGCGCTCACCCCACAAAACTTGGTTTCGTGGCTGCTGTGGCGTAGCTGCAATATTTCTGTGGCCCAATGTCTTTCAACCCGCCAAGCCCGTTTGGCAAGAGAGAAACCTTGCGAGAACCGCAAAGCGCGCAACCATCGATTCCGTCAACCTCCTCCGCCCGCTCTACGGCTCTACCTCCACGACCGCGTAGATGGGATGGGAACGCCGCCCTGGGGCCGAGCAGCTTCTCCATGACGGCCAGCGCGAACTCCACGGCCGTCCCGGGGCTCCTGCTGGTGGCCAAGGTTCGGGTTCCCGTCCAACACCACCCCTCCCGCACTCGCTGGTGATGCTGATGGCGCCGCCTGCCCGCGATGAGGCCGTGCGGCTCCAGCACCTGCGGCCAGCGTCCTCGCGCGGGGCATGCCACCCTGGTCCACGTGAGCAAGACAGTGAGGGATGCGTATTTCCATACAATCAGCCAGCGACGACTGTATCGAGCAGGGTAGCAATGCAGTACTCAACTGATGATCGTGCCATCTACCCAAAGTTTATTCCATGCCGAAAATGACTGTAGAGCTCATGCTGCACCGTACCTCTGTTAAGAAAGAAAGAGTCAAAGCGGACGCGACATGTCATAAAATTGCCTCTTTATGGTGCAGTTCCATTGTACTTTTCCATCGCTCAAACTATTCACAGAAAACACACTTTTGGCTCATCTGGTGCAACATCCTTTTCTTTTCTTTTCTGCTGCTCGGAAAATACGGAACACACTTTGTTCTCAAAATATATGTGCGTGCATGCAGGCTGGACAGCTGCAGGGGCTCCCAGGACCCGGGCCGTGAGCACGAGTGCGGGCGCCCACTGGGCCTCAAGTTCAACCACGACACCGGGGAGCTCTACGTGGCCGACGCCTACCACGGCCTCCGCGTCGTCTCGCCGGACGACGACGACAAGGTGTCGAGGCCGGTGGCGCCGCAGTGGTGGCAGGGCACCGGCCGCGCCTTCAGCTTCGCCAACGGCGTCGAGGTGGACCCGGACACGGGCGCCGTCTACTTCACCGAGACGAGCACGAGGTTCCAGAGGAGGGAGTTCCTGACCATCGTCATCTCCGGCGACACCACGGGGCGGCTGCTGCGGTACGACCCGAAGAGCGGCGACGGCGAGGTGGAGGTGCTGGTCGACGGGCTGGCGTTCCCCAACGGCCTCGCGATGAGCAGGGACGGGACGCACCTGCTGCTGGCGGAGACCACGACGGGGAGGATCCTCCGGTACTGGCTCCGGCCGGTGGCGAAGGCGCAGGCGATCGAAGAGGTGGCGCGGCTGCCGTGGTTCCCGGACAATATCAGGATGAGCCCTCGGGGAGGCTTCTGGGTGGGGCTCCACGCCAGGAGGGGCAAGCTCGCCGAGTGGTGCATCTCCTACCCGTGGCTCCGGCGGCTGGTGCTGTCGCTGCCGACGCGCCATGTCCAGCGCGCCTCGTGGATGCTCAGCCGGCTCGGGCGGCAGGTGATCGCGGTGAGGTTGAGCGAGGAGGACGGGAAGGTGATGGAGATGGTCAGCGTTCATGGGGATCTTCAGAAGACGTTCAGGTCGGTCAGTGAAGTGGACGAGAGGAACGGCAGCCTCTGGATTGGCTCTGTCATGTCGCCGTTTCTTGGAGTGTACAAGTTGTAGTAGAAGCGTTTACATGGTGGTATACGCTAAAATATGGATTGGGTATATGTTAGTTTCTTATTAAAAGAAAAACATACATCATATATCCATATATGTGTATAGATGCTACTAGTATAAAAATTTCTTCTATCAATAGACCTGTTCATTTGGGCAGAGGTTGAAGTGTCTTTGTATCGGTGAACTGAATACAGAAGAACTGATGTTCCTCGGCCTCTTTCTTCTCCACACTCCACAGACCAGTGCCTCCATCATCCCCATCCCCGTCCGGACTCCGCGCCCCACTCCGCGCTAGCTGCTGCTGCCTTCACCCATCGCTCGCTCAAGCACCATCCCGTCCGCGACGCTTTGGCTCCCCCATCCCGCGCCGCGCTCCATCTTATGCTGCGTCGCGCGTCCCATATCCTCCCTCATCCCCCACCCACATAAGCACAGCCACGTCCGTCCCCACGTCCTCGCTGCCCAGCCGGTCGGCTCCGATGGGTTCGTGCTGTCGCCGGTGGCGAGGGTGCTGCAACAGCGCACGGCGGGGGTGGCTTAGGAGATGGCGCTCATCGTGGGGCCCCTCTAGGCAGTGGCCCTCCTCGGCCTCCTCCTTCTCCGCCGTTGCCACTCTAATCCCCACCGGGTAGGACGTGGCCGCACGACGTATACTGTGTTTCAAGTGTTTCAACATTGTGTTTTAAGTGTTTCATCTTAACGTTGCAAAAGTAGATCTGTGATGTTGAATATACAGCAATGACAATATACGCATGTTGCAAGCCTATGTTTCAAGTGTTTCACGTGTTTCAGACGTATATTGTAAATGTTTCATCTGGATGTTTCAAAAGTAGATCTTGTGTTGCACATGTTGCAATGGCTATACATGCATGTTTCAAGTGCATGATTCAAGTGTTTCATCTGCTTTTAGACGTATGTTGCAAATGTTTTATCTAGATGTTTCAAAAGTAGATCTGGTGTTGCACGTGTTTTTTTACTCTGGTGTTGCACATGTCGCAATAGCGCGGTGGTGGCGTTACAGCAGCCTTCCTCGCACGACGTGCCTCTCCCTCCCCTCGCTTCCCTCCATCTCCTTGCCATGGCAGTTCGAGCTCGGTGGGAAACCATACTCGACTAGCGCGCAGGCGCCCGCAAAAGGTGGTGGCCTCGGGTGCGCTCGACGGCGGCGCGATGCCACATGGTGGCCCCGCAGCAAGCTGAGGTCCGTGCTGTTTGCTCACTACGTGTGGGAACAGAGCAGCCGCAGGCGTCCGTCCGGACGTCCAGGCGCTAGTCCTGTCGAAAAATATTTGTCTTGGAAGATATAAAGCTGGTTCCATTTTTTTTTTCTAAAACAATGCTCTAGTTATTTGAATTTTATTTTTTTTTAGAAAATGGAAGAGACTTATCGCCTCTGCATTTTCGCAAACAGCGTTTTCATTATTACAAAATTTCAGAGACATTGCTGAGGAATTAGCCAGGAAAACAAGAAATGTAAAAATTATGCACGAAAGAGTCTATTGTTAAATTTCCACTGTACCCATGAGAGAGGAACAGATTCAACGCAATTGTCTCTAATTTTCTGCTTTGAATTTTATATGTTCTTTGTATCGTGCTTATTTGTTATTAGATGATCTTGTTATCTGTTAATTCAAATCTCACATAATAATATGAAATTCATCTTTATGTTTGTAAACAAGTGCTAGAAAATAAATGATATTTCTTTGCGATAGGGTGGCGTCTAGCTGGTGGGACATGTTAGAGAACAAACTATTGAAAACAGTTAGATTAGACAAAGGCAACAAATGAAAACTCTCCTGTTTTTTCTTAGTACTCATTGATTTTCCAAATGTTCTCTAGGAACTATTGGAAATGCTCTAGTATTGGGGATGGATTACGGGGCTCCACCGGGCCATGAAACTGAGGGGAACGTACGACGTCCTGATGTTGGTGGGCCACTAGGCCGGTTGTTCCCTCGTGCAGGTCCAGCCCGCGCGTGTGCTCCCCGGATGGAAGGATTTGCACCAAACCAGCGTCCTCCGCCCGCGTTTTCCGGGGAGGGAACAGCGCCCGCGCCGCGACCACGATATTCTCCCGAATAGATCGACACGCCAACCGGCAACCGTCAAGCGGCCGAGCCCATCCGTAGAGGAAAAGGAACACACGTACGGGACATTGACGGCGAGCACGACGTCGTCGAAGCCCGGGCCGCCTCCGTTTTAGTTTCCCTCTCCCATAAAACCTCTCAACCCTCATCGAGTTTCTGTGGACGCCACGCGACGCGACCATACGTGCAGCACAGCACGGCATCGGCGCCGCATTCGCATCTGCCGCTGGACGGATCGGTGGTCCGCCGGTCCACGCGCAACCGATGAAGATGACTGTGCTCGCCGTGCTCGCGGCCGCCGCCGTCGTCGCGGCGGCCGCGATCCTGTCCTCGCTGGACGCCCGGAGCGACGTCGCGGTGCTGGAGATAGGCGGGGACGGCCGCGTGGAGCTGGTCCCCGTGGACGCCGGCGCCGCGGGGCCCGAGAGCCTGGCGTTCGACGGCGGCGGCGGCGGCCCGTACGCGGGCGTGTCGGACGGGCGCGTCCTCCGGTGGGTCCCCGGCGAGCGGCGGTGGGAAGAGCACTCGTCGTCCTGCCCGCCCGAACTGTACGTACGTCTTGCCAGTAGTCCTCCTCTGACCTCTGGTGTCTGATGAATGCTTTCGTTCTTTCTTTCGTGCCCCGCATGCATACAATCCGGTTCTCTTCTTCCTTGCGATCTGCTCTGCACCCTGTTGGCCTCGTGTGCGCTCGCTCCAAGTCTCCAGCGTTGCAGCGCTTGCATTGCAGGCTTGACGACCATCACCACGTCGCACTCCTACCCTCCCTACCCGTCCGAGTAAAAAAATTAACCAGCCGCATGCAAGTTGCAGGGCAGAGGACACTGCATGCGTCGTCCTGTGTGGTGCTGCAGGGCAGACAGACAGACACGCGCATTTACACGCCCATCCTCCATCCGTTACATACTAAAAACCTGAGGAGCGAGGAGGGCATCTCACTCTCCACTCTGAGGCCGGCACCGCGGCACGTTCGTTCAACTGGTCAAGGACCGCCGCCCGCACTGGTAGCTCACCTAGAAGCAACCAGTCCTCTGTGCGCAGCCACCGGCCCGCGCCGCACAGCGCGAGCTTTACTCATCCTCCCGCGGTGATACGATGCGCGCCCGCGGTGAGGTGGCGCTGGCCGCGCTGCTGGCGGCGGCGGCGCTGCTGCTGTCGTCGCTGGACTCGCGCAGCGACGTCAGGATGCTGGAGATCGGCGACGGCGACGTCGACCTGCTGCCGCTGCTGGACGGCGCCGTGGGGCCCGAGAGCCTCGTGTTCGCCGATGACGGGGACGGGGACGGCGGCGACGGTGGCCCGTTCACGGGCGTGTCGGACGGCCGGGTCCTCAGGTGGGTGCCCGCCGAGCGGCGGTGGGCCGAGCACTCCTCCCCCGCGCCCGACCTGTAAGTTTCAATCCTCGTCGCCGTTCTCTCCTCACGACCACCGTTCGTTCGTTCGTTCGTCGCACCATGCATACTTGTGCTAGCTACCTCTCTCATCAGTTCAGTGACACTGGTACAGCGTGCTCCACGTCCGTGCGTGCGTGCGTGCGTGCTGCTGCTAGCTTTTCTGTGCTGCTGTGTGCAGTTCAGAGCTGACGGTTGCCCAGTAATGGTGAAATTGATAGGAACCAAGTAATGGTGAAACTGAACGTGCATTTCTGTGTTGCTGCGTGCAGTTCAACGGCTGACGGTTGTGCCGCCGCTGTCCAAGTAATGGTGAAACTGATAGAAACCAATGCGCAGGTTTTGGGTGTAAATGACGCGATTTTGACACCATTTCTAGTGCCAAATCCTCTGCCCTCGCTACTCACTCATTAGGATGTCTGATGATGTCTCCGTCCATCATGTAATTGACGCATAATAAAACACTCAACTGATGATCGTGCCATCTACCCAAAGTTTATTCCATGCTGAAAATCACTGTGTAGAGCTCATGGTGGGTGTATCGTACCTCTGTTAAGAAAGGATCAAAGCGGCCGCGGCATGTCATAAAATTGGCTTTTCTTTTATGGTGCAATTAAATTTTACTTTTCCATCGCTCGAATTATTCACTGAAAACACACTTTTGGCTCATGTAGTGCAATTTTCTTTTCTGTTGCTCGGAAATTACGGAATACACTTTGTGTTCTAAAAAGGCCAGACTTGTGTGACCAAATAATTAATAATTTCTTATTCAAAATATGTGTGCCGTGCGTGCATGCAGGCTGGACAGCTGCAGGGGCTCCCATGACCCGGGCCGTGAGCACGAGTGCGGGCGCCCACTGGGCCTCAAGTTCAACCATGACACCGGGGAGCTCTACGTGGCCGACGCCTACCACGGCCTCCGCGTCGTCTCGCCGGACGACGACGACAAGGTGTCGAGGGCCGTGGCGCCGCAGTGGTGGCAGGGCACCGGCCGCGCCTTCAGCTTCGCCAACGGCGTCGAGGTGGACCCGGACACGGGCGCCGTCTACTTCACCGAGACGAGCTCGAGGTTCCAGAGGAGGGAGTTCCTGAGCATCGTCATCTCCGGCGACACCACGGGGAGGCTGCTGCGGTACGACCCGAAGAGCGGGGAGGTGGAGGTGCTGGCCGACGGCCTGGCGTTCCCCAACGGCCTCGCGATGAGCCGGGACGGCACGCACCTGCTGATGGCGGAGACCACGACGGGGCGGATCCTCCGGTACTGGCTCCGGCCGGCGGCGAAGGCGCCGGCGATGGAAGAGGTGGCGCGGCTGCCGTGGTTCCCGGACAACATCAGGATGAGCCCCCGGGGAGGCTTCTGGGTGGGGCTCCATGCCAAGAGGGGCAAGCTCGCTGAGTGGTGCATCTCCTACCCGTGGCTGCGGCGGGTGGTGCTGTCGCTGCCGACGCGCCATGTCCAGCGCGCGTCGTGGCTGCTCAACAGGATTGGGCGCCAGGTGATCGCGGTGAGGTTGAGTGAGGAGGACGGGAAGGTGATGGAGATGATCAGTGTCCATGGGGATCTTCAGAAGGTGTTCAGGTCGGTGAGTGAAGTGGAGGAGAGGAATGGCAGCCTCTGGATTGGCTCTGTCATGTCGCCGTTTCTTGGAGTGTACAAGTTGTAGTAGAAGCATTTACATGGTGTTATATACGCTTAAATATGGATTGGGTATAGGTTACTAGTAGCTTACTATAGTAAAGGAAAACATACGTCATATATTCATATCACATCTATACATGATAAACAGGGCTTGCGAGCATGACTTCTGGGGAAAAAGAAGCAAAAAAAGAAGATCGTTCCATCAATTCTTCAGAGTTCTGCGGCTCTTGTCCTCTCAATAGGGTTGTTGTATTCGCAAGGAGTTTAAAGTAATTCTTATTCTTATTACATACGTTGTGAGCTGAATGGTTCAATCTTGGAGATTGTGCTCACCAATTCAATGTTACAACCAAATCAGTCTGTCAACATGACAGACAAAAGGGATCCTGGAACTCAAACCACGCCCATCAATAATGTTTGAGCGCCATTGTCTTTTAGTACTGGACCAGTGCAAGTATAGTCTGTATAGACATTTGTGGCTGCAAAGCTTCCCAAGGGAAAAATGAACTATAAAGGTTTAGTTCAGTGGATACAGGTGTGGCCTTTTCTTCTCTAAAATCACTGTAGTGGCGGCAGCAGTAGCAGCTGCATATTTCTGCAGCCAAACACCCTGAGTAGTTTCCATACAGTATTGTGTTGCTTTTTGTTACACTGTTCTGAAAATTGTTTGTGCTGCAGGGACAAGCTGCTAACAACTCCCAGTTAATCAAGTCTGTATTGGCAAGCTCTCCAACAATGGAAGAAGGGATCTGCAGGGCTGAGAAAACCAAGTCTACTGAGCCTGTAAGGAAACCATTTGGAGCACAGAAGTATCAGATTTGTTTGCTCTCCTTATCTGCCTCTAATCATAATCGTACTACAGATGTGGACAACTGACAATCTTGAGTTTAGGATGACTTGGATGTGTCTCGATGGTCATAATCAGCTCAGACAATGCGCCTCCTCTCCTGGGTGGCACCTTTCCACCATGGCCACCAATTTCTAGAAATACCTCTTTGAGGCCCAACAGGTGCCCAATGCCAGGTGTTTCAACGATTTCTTTGAAGCAGAGCTTGAGCCTCTCAAGCTTCGGCATCGCCCCAGCCTCAAAGGTCAGCCGTGGTGTTCTGCACCAATACTTGAAATATTTAAGGGCTGGGAACGCCATTCCATGGATTGTGATACTCTCTCTAGGTGGTACTTGGGTGCGCAATCCTAGGTTTGTGAGGGCAGGCAACCGTGCAAGGACAAGGAAACCCTCAATTGACAGTTCTGTAACCGCAATCTTCAAGACTTGGAGCTTTTGGAGTTCACCAACCCATTTGGGGACTTCGGAGAACCGCCAGTATACCATTTCTAGTGTCTGAAGATGGCAGGGAGAAGGGTGTAATGAACTCAAACCACTGCCACAAATACCAGGCCAGTACAAGTATAGATGTTTGAGGTTGGGAAGCATCTCAAGGGAAGAGCACAAAACATCAACACATAATGCTACATTGGAGGTAGATGTTCCAGAGTTGCAAAGATTGAGATCTCTTAGATTGGTGAGTTGGCCAAGACCCCTGACGTTATCAATTGAGTTCTCCCCAAGATCAAAGGATTGCAGAGTTACTAGAGACTTCATATTGCCAATCCCATCAGGTAATCTGGTACTTTCTGGAATTATGAGATGAGTCAGGCGAGGCAGACTAACAATATCTGGTGGGATAACAACTGATCCCCATTCTATGTCCAGGGTCTCCAACTGTTGTAGCTTCCCGATTTTTGCTGGTAATTGTATCTGTACATTAATGTTGGTTTCAATCTTCAGATATCTCAGCTGAAACAAGTTGCATACTCCAGTGAAATCCAATTTCATCTTATAAGAAACATCTGAGAATTCCACAATTAAAACTCGAAGAAATCGAAACTCTGAAAGAGGATGCATGTGCAAGAAACTGGAATCTCCAAAGGCTGCAAGAGATCGAACATGTGATAGATTTGTGGCTGGAGATATGGTGCTTTGTTTTCCATTATCATATTGCATGGAGAGTCGACGGACAGTATTGTGCAGGTATAATGAGACATCAGATCTATCATTTTTTGTCATAAAATTCTCTTCTGCGCACTCATTTAAGATAAGATTCAGCATCCTATCGTGTACCTTACAAGATAATACCTCATTTTGGTAGTTGACATCATTAGGTAGAATCATGCTCCTATTAACTAGCTCATTGAAATAATTACTTGCAACATCTTCTGCATCTTGTCCCTGCACCTTACTAACAAAACCTTCAGCTATCCATTGCATGACCACATCTTTCTTCCTAATCGTGTAATCCTCTGGATAAATGCCAAGATATAGAAAGCAGGCCTTGAGATAGTAAGGAAGGTTCTTGTAGCTAAGCTGCAATATCTGTCTCATACCATCCAATGCAGAGCATTTCCCAAACTTATTGCCCAAAGAATTCCTCACGTGTTCCCACTGTTCAACTCTTGTGGTTGCTTGATTAGCTAAAAGGCTAGAAATACTAACAATGGCAAGTGGCAAACCACTACACTTGTCTAAAATTTCAGTTGAAACTTCTCTAAGCTGTTCGGGGAAGGCATCCTCAGAACCAAATATTCTTTTAAAAAATAATCTTTTTGATAGTTGGTCATCTAGTGGCTCCATCTTATAAACATACTCATTGCGATAACTGCAACAAGCAATAGCTACAGTTTCAATGCGTGTAGTTGTTATAACTCTACTAGCCTGCTCATTTTTGGGGAGGGCACATCTAAGAATATCCCATGCTGATTCGTCCCATATATCATCAAGTATGACAAAATACCTGCACAAAAATTCATACAAAGCACATGGTTTCAACTAGGCTAATAAGTGATCTTCATAAGAGAAGACTACTTTTTTTGCGAGAAATAAGAGAAAGTGAACACTACATTGATAGTTAATATGAACAATACGAGTGTTGGACTACTTATTCAATTCGATAGTATTAGGTAATTCTAAGGTCTAAGGAGCAGAAAGGAACACTATTTGGAACTAACCTAATGTTATATACTGACAACAACACACAAAATGATATTTAGGAAGCGTATTTGATCACAAGATTGCATGAAACATTTTAAAAACATAAACTTGTACCTTTTGTCTTGTAGATGTTCTCTAAGAACATTAATGAGGTTCTGCACCTCGCTAGGTTGAGAAGGTGGTTGTTGCCCAAGTTGTGAAAACATATTAGTGAGAATCCTTGTCATGTCTGGTCTCTGCGAGACTGATACAAATGCCTGACAATCAAATTCCTCTCCAATCCTTTTGTACACCTCATTGGCCAGCGTGGTCTTACCAAGACCGCCAATTCCTACAATAGATACCACCCTCAACCGTTGATCTTCATCTAGCAGCCACTTGACCAGCTGATTCCTTGGGCCATCAATGCCCTCAAGACCATCTTCATCAGCATAAAGTGCGTGGAGGCGAGGGTCAACAGGCACATATTTAGATCTAGAGGTGCCCACATCGATCTTGTACCTTTTGCGACGATGACTCACCTCCATGACACGAGTCTTGATCTGTTGTATTTCATTGGAAATACGAAATTTGGTTCTCACCATACTGATACGCTGAATGATCTTCTGAATGAAACCAGCTGTGGTACCATCCTGGCTGGCATGATGAATGACCTCATCAATCCAGTCCTCAATATCATAGGCCATCTCCCTTACTTGGCTCTTCCAATCCTTGGTCAGGGGATCAAGCTCCTCCTTGTCCGCTAGAATCTCTAGCAAGGCATCCATGGTGCTGAGTTCATCCCTGATGGATGACAACTCTTCGACATGTCGCTGAACTTGAGATACTGTTCATCCATGAGGATAGTAAGCTTATGGAGAAGGGAATTCATCACTCCCGTCGAGACGCTCACCAAGGCTTGCTCTACTCCTGCAGACATATGTGTATCTAATCACACTCCCAAATAGATGTGCAGAAGCTTGATTTGGTATTTTGGTCTGGACATGGACACAGATACACAAAGAGAAAAGGAGATGATGCAAGAGACACTGTTCAAATATGACTGCTTAACTGGGGTTCTTCTAGCTATACGCTCTGGGAACTGCAAGATATTGGTTTGGTGGATTAGGACATATTGACTAAAAGCAAGTAGTTTAAAGGAACCGTGTGAAAGAAGAAGAATTCACAAAAGGTATCAGTTTAAAGAAACCGGGTCAAAGAAGAACAGTCCACCAAGAAAAAAAGGGCATCGATTATGATGTGGCTGTAATTTGAGTGACAGATAAATCATGATAAATTTTTTTTGAGGCATCAGCATAAACAAATGCTTCATCCACAGATATTTCTTTATTATATATGAATTCTATGAAAATAAAGTATTGTTTTACAGTGATCAGAAAGCTACTGCAACGGTTTACACCACAAACGATGAACTGATTGTAATCAGGGCGACGAATGCGTGTGGTCAAGCTAAGCCATCCGACTCTATCAAGAGGCTTTTACATGTATGCCATTAAAAAAGTTTGTAATTACACACAAGCCATTAAAAAAATTGACCGCACACGAGTGCCATCGTTCTGAACTTCTTTGCTCTCCAAGCCATTCCGTCGGTGGTCTGTTAGTTTTTCACCGTTTCATGTGGGCCCGGTCAGTATAAATGTCCATAATACCCCTCTCATACTTATCCTCTCTCTCAAACTCTCTCTCTCAAACTCGATCTCTGAGCTCGGGCGGCCGGAGGGGGAGGCGGAGACTTGTACCTTTTGTCTTGTGGAGTGTTCTCTACAACATTTCATGAGCGGAGGCGGCGCGCGGCGGCCGAGATCGCAAGGCCAGCAGCCCAAGCCCTGGCAGGTCAGATGGACGCCTTCTGCCTCACACGCGAGGCCGGCTGACTGGAGGTGGACGCGGGCGCATGGGAGCCGCGCGACGAGCAGGCTGCGCTGGAGTCGCGGATCCAGCGGGACTTCGAAGCTCGGGATCGTCGGGACGCACGGGACAGGGTTGTGCAGTCGCCCCCCAGGCGCTGGAGGTGTCGCGGCCGACGGCGAGGGACGCGTCCGGCGGCGGGCGCGGACGGGTGCTCGTCGGAGCTCGGCCATCGTCAGTCTCGCCGTTCATCCGTTCCTCCCCCATCTCTCTCTCATTTGTTTCCTTCGGCGACGAACGGGTGGCCCACGGGCATCACGACGCTGCCGTGCTTCGGCGGTACCATGCACGCCGGATGGTGTGGTACCCCGCCCAGCTTCCTCCTCCTCCTCGGATCCTTCTTCTTCTTCGCTCCTCTCACCTTTTTGCCCTTACGCTGAGTGATCTTCGCCCCACGATGGTGGTGGTGGTGCGGCTGGCGAAGTGACGAAAGAACCTCGCTCAATCCAGCCTCAATATCAGCTGCCCGTCTTACTTGGATCTTTCCCGGGCCTTGGTCAGGGGATCAAGCTCCTCCTGTGGCGACTTCGCCGAACGGCGGCGAGGGCAAGGCATCATGGGCCGAGTTCATCCCTGATGGATGCTGCAGCTCTTCGGATCTACTCCTCCGTGGCCTGTTCATGTGGCGGATAGTAAGCGCGGTGTGGTGAGCACGCACGAACAAGCGTGTTCGCGCTCCGGGACCGCCACGCGGTAGTTCGAATGCCGCGGAGGAGCTTGGACGCCTCGTGGAACGGCCGGAGCACCCTCACGGACCCTGCTCGCCGCTCCGCAGACGACGCGGATTTGGTATTTTGGTCTGGACATGGAACAGACGTGAGAAAAGGCCTGCTCCTGCTCACGCTCGTCTCCCGATGAGCTCGCTCGCCTTAGGTTCTTCGCCACGGCTGGGTCGTGCTCGATGCTCGTTTGGCCCCATTAGGCATATTGACTCGCCGCTCTCAAGTAGTTCCTAAAGGAACCTGTGGAAGACGAAGAATCGTAACTGGTGCCGGACTATCCTCGGTCAAAGAAGAACAGTCCACCGCCAGACTTGGCATCGATTATGCCTTGGCTGCAATTTGAGCAGATCCATGTGGAGAAAGGCCTTTGCGAGCGGTGTGGAGAAGGGTATTCTAGACCTTTATCCTGACCGGGTCCACATGTAACGGTGAAAAACAAACAACACCGAAGGAATGGCTTGGAGAGCAAAGAAGGTCAGAACGATGGCACTCGTGTACGGTCAATCTTTTTTAATGGCTTGGGTGTAATTACAAACTTTTTTTAATGGCATACATGTAAAAGACTCCTCTATCAATGCTGCTTGTCAATATGTCTCTTGGTGTCTTTCACTTTCCCCCTGTCATACTCATACCATGACTTCCCTCCTGCTCCTGCGTGTCCAAGGAGGGAAAAAAAGACTTTTCGAATGGAACGGCAACTTTTGAAGGAATTTGTTTAGTTTCATGGAGATGTTTGTATCAAATCAAAGGATTTAAAATGTTACTATGGGGAAGAGAGCGAAGACCTGCCATCCAGGAGGTGTGAGCAGAGTTTAAGATTTGGAACCAATAGCTAATTAGCTACCCATTTCCAAATCTCCCCGTACGGATATGAGCAACAAGCACGGTAGACGAGAAGGAAGAGGAGGAGGAGTCAAGTATTGGGCTGACTGAGTTTATTACCAGAACAGTCGAGCGTCTCGGGCTCTCCGTCGACGGCGGGCCGCCGCCGCAGGCGCGGGGCAACTCCCCACTCTCGTCCCGGACTAGACGAGATCTACAGCTCACTCCTGGCCTCCGGGCCACCGTCGCGAGCACAACTGCGAGCACCGCGCCGCATTTGACTCCAGTAGCTACTGCAAACTGAGATCCGATCTCGCGGCCGTCCTCCCCCCTTCAACGCTTTCAACAGTCAGAACGGTGCTCAGACGACACACAACACACCGGTCTGCTCGAGAAATGGGCCTCCTTACGCGAACGGGCCTTTGTCTGGAGCGATGTTACTTGGAGTTGGGCCGTCTCGCCCGAGCTGCTTGGAGAGTTGGGGTAGCCTAAATTTTTTTTTATTTCCTTCTGCTTTAGCTTCAGGCTTTCAGTGTTGCTAATATATATATATATATATATATATATATATATATATATATATATATATATATATATATATATATATATATATATATATATATATATATAAGATTAAAGGGGCAAGAGTTTCTTTTTACGATATGGTCATTTGGTTGATTTTCGAATTGATAAGATTGATCTTTGGGTTGTTGTGTTCCCACTATTGATTAACCGATAAATTTCCGTAAAACCAACAAACGAACATCCTGTATAATCTTAGCATAGTGAATGGTTTTAATCTAGTTTCTTTTCCACGAACCGTATTGGTGTGTGCTGTGATGAAGGTCACCCGAGTCCGGGTGTTCCCACAAAGGCCCGCCCAGACGCAAAATGAGCCAGGTACTCCGGCTTCTTGTGCTGTGGGACAGGTCCGAGTGCACGACAGCACGAGTTGGTGGCGGCGGCGCTAGAGTACAAGCCGCGCACGACCACGGCACGGCACACCGCTCGCGTGCTCGCTGCCGCCCGCGGCGGACGCCGTGCTGCGTGCTCCGGTGTCAGCCAGCTCGCCGCGATCCGTGCCGCCTACGAAACCACCACCCGTCCGGATCAGGATATATACGAGGCCGTATCCGAGTCATCCCCTGCTGGCTGCTGGCTGTTGGCTGCATTGTCGGACTCCTCCCTTTTCCAAATCACTCACACTTTCCACATCCACCGTCAATTTACAAGCCCCGCCGCCGCCGCCCGGTCCCCGCCCCCTCCTAAACCCCGCGACGACTCCGAGCGAGCCGAGCCCCCGGCGACCACCAACCATGGCCTTCTCCGCTAAACCCTACTGCTCCACCACCACCAAACCGCCCACCCCCACCACCCACCTCTCCCCCTCCCTCTCCGTCCGCGCCGCCGCCTCCGCCCGCGCTCCGCGCTCCGCCCATGGCCTCTCCGCAGCCGCCGCCGGCAAGTCGACCCCCAGCATCTTCCGCCTCCGCGCGTTTGCCCAGCGCATCCGGGCGTCGCAGCAGCAGCAGCGGCGGCGGCCCGAGTACGTGCCGAACCGCATCGACGACCCAAACTACGTGCGCATCTTCGACACCACGCTCCGCGACGGGGAGCAGTCCCCCGGCGCCACCATGACGAGCGCCGAGAAGCTCGTCGTCGCGCGCCAGCTGGCCCGCCTCGGCGTCGACATCATCGAGGCGGGCTTCCCGGCCTCCTCCCCCGACGACCTCGACGCCGTGCGCTCCATCGCCATCGAGGTCGGCAACCCGGTGGAGGAAGGCGCCCACGTGCCCGTCATCTGTGGCCTCTCGCGGTGCAATAAGAGGGACATCGACGCTGCCTGGGAGGCCGTCAGGCACGCGCGCAGGCCCCGGATCCATACCTTCATCGCCACCAGCGAGATCCACATGCAGCATAAGCTTAGGAAGACGCCCGAGCAGGTCGTCGCCATTGCCAGGGAGATGGTGGCGTATGCACGCAGCCTCGGGTGCCCCGATGTCGAATTCAGCCCCGAGGATGCCGGCAGGTACGGCTCTTTACAGCTTTATCTTTATTGCAGTTGGGGAACACTAGTACTTGCGAATTTGTTGATTGTTTCAATGTTCATAGCTGTTGTTTCAATAGTAGGCATAATGAGTAAAGGTCCAAGTATTCGGTACATCAAACTGTAATCTGGTCTGGAACTTCCATCCCATGTAATGTAACTCAAGTTGTCAAAACCATTCAACTAATCTATTGTGCAGTTTGCACCAAAGGGTCAATTTTAGTGGAACCAAGTTGATTGTGATTTAGAGCTTCTTCTAGTAGTTTCAAAAGTCGCACCACTTGGCAAGAAAATAAAATATGCTCAGTAAAATCTACATTTTGGAAGCAATCTTATTAGCAAATCAAAACAGAGCAATAGTTTCTTACTACCGAAATTTTGATGCTATGTTTGGTCTTAAGTAAGCTTGCAAGCTTAGTGGTGCATCCAAATTATTTTGGTTGGTCTTGGTTATATAACTTGTGTAAAAATTTTAGCTCATCCTGGGATGCCCTTAAATTTTTGTACTATTTCACAAACAAAGGATCTGTTTTCCCCTGATGTGCTTAAGGCTGTCGCCTGATAGATTTCCCTTTGCCAATTACCATCCAGGTCAAATCGAGAATTCCTGTATCATATACTGGAGGAAGTCATAAAAGCTGGGGCAACAACTCTTAATATCCCAGACACTGTCGGATACACTCTTCCTTATGAATTTGGGAAGTTGATTGCTGACATAAAGGCAAACACTCCTGGAATTGAAAATGCTATCATTTCCACTCATTGCCAGAATGACCTTGGTCTTGCGACTGCCAACACATTAGCGGTACTACCTTCTACTTATTTGTTTCTATTTTATATAATTTATTATCATTGGTTTAATCTTTAACCGGGTTACTAATTTGACTTACCTTTAGGGCGCTCGTGCAGGAGCACGACAGTTAGAAGTGACTATTAATGGTATTGGTGAAAGAGCTGGAAATGCTTCGTTGGAAGAGGTGAGCTCATGTAGTTGCCGTATTATATGCTGACGCACCTTACAAAATAGAGTATGATGGATTTTTGGAAAAGGAATCTGAATCTGAATTGGCTTGATAGAGTGTTTTACATGCCTAATATTTCTGATCCCTGTTCAGGTTGTCATGGCAATTAAATGTCGTGGGGAGCTCTTAGATGGTCTATATACGGGAATCAATTCCCAACATATTACTTTGACAAGCAAAATGGTACAATAATTTTCTTTTGTTTGTTTGTTTTCTTTTCTACCTCTTTTGAATTTTTCAGATGACTGAAATTTCTGGCGCAAATGCTCTAATTATTCTAGGTACAAGAGCACAGTGGACTTCATGTACAACCGCATAAAGCTATTGTTGGTGCCAATGCCTTTGCTCATGAAAGTGGAATTCATCAGGTAAACATATTCAATCTCATTGCTAACATCAACCTTTTGGAATTGTAGTTGTGGTGGGTTGGTTGTTTCCAAATCCTTAGCATTGATCCTTTTCACCTCTTCGGTAATTGGTTCTCAACTTTTAAGTAATTATTTTCACCTTTGCGATGTATCGAACATGGTTTTGCCTTGCATCATTGCTCGGAACCTCTGAGATATATAAATTTTTTAATTGATGGTATCAATAATGTATGATAAGCTATTTTTATAAACTTTGTTGGTTAGAGATTGGAATGGTTCTTCATGTTCACTTTTCTTTTCTTTTATTTTTTTACAGGATGGGATGCTTAAATATAAAGGAACATATGAAATAATATCGCCTGATGATATTGGTTTAACACGTGCAAATGAATTTGGTATTGTTCTTGGGAAACTCAGGTATTATGCAACCTACCATCCCCACTTGACTTCATTTTCTCCAATATTCTGCTGTGATGTCTCTCAATTGTATTTCTCTTACCAACTTTCTACTCTTTACTTTTGCCTGATTTGGTATGCATCGGTAGTGTTACAAAAGTATTGGTAGTAGGGTAATGATGTAAACCATTACACTTAAGTCACATCATAGACATAGACCTTCTAATTCTGTAATTATGGAATGATGTATTATATTCTTAAACTTGAACCTTGATCGTTTATTGTGGCAAATGTTTGGTCTTCCATTATTCTATTTATCATGTTTATGCTCCTAGGATTGTTGGCTTGGTATAGTTTTCTACACTTCTAGCTTAGCTGAATTAGATATTTCGTGCTAAAATACAATTGGACAGGCATAAAATGGTAAAATAAGTCAAATTTTAGAATCTCATCCATAGTAATGTACTAATGTTTTCTTTTCTTGTTGTCCAGTGGAAGGCATGCAGTGAGATCTAAGCTAGTGGAGGTACAGCTTGAATATTTCTTTGTTTTTCTTGCTACAAGCCCACAGCTAGAGATCTTTCATTTCAGTTCTTACTGTTACTGAATGGCTTCCTTGTTTTTCCAAACTTGTAGCTTGGATATGAAATCAGTGACAAGGAATTTGAAGATTTCTTTAAACGCTACAAAGAGGTCGCAGAGAAGAAAAAGGTGACTCTTTGCTTAAGTATACTTGGTTTATTGCTTGTGTGATACTTTCTGTCCTTCAATTATTGTCTTTCTAAAATCACATGCATTTGATTAATAACTTTCACCTTTTTATTTGCCATGAATTTTTCTCTCTCTCTGCATTTTTATTGAATCGTTACATCTGCATTGAGGACTGCTTGCTCTCATGCTCAATTTATTCATCAAATCTTTATAATCTGTAGCTGTAATTTCTGACATGCACTATGCATTGAAACTCACCAGTTAGTTCACCATTTGCAGCGTGTAACTGATGAAGACATAGAAGCGTTATTGTCAGATGAGATATTCCAGCCTAAGGTTATTTGGTCCCTTGCTGATGTACAGGTATAACTGAGCTGCAGTTAACAAAACTTTGGTTAATAGAGACATGATATTCTATACTAAGCTTGAAATGCTATGCATCCCTCGCAGGCAACATGTGGAACACTTGGCTTATCTACAGCAACTGTGAAACTGATAGCACCAGATGGAGAGGAGAAAATAGCATGTTCAGTTGGAACAGGTCCAGTTGATGCAGCTTACAAGGCTGTTGACCAAATAATCCAGGTCAGTTGCTTTCTGGATCTTGATCTTTCTTGCATTGGTACACGATCTCTAACAAGATGGAATATTGATCCATTATGTTTTTTTGTTATGAAACTACTTGTATCTGGTGAACCTGTAGTTTAGTATCATCATTATAAACCAACTAAAATGTAATGTTTACTCTAAACAGATTTGCATGAAATTTATCACCACCAGATGAATTTCATGAGAAAGGGGATACACTGGTTTGATGTTAAAACGGAATTGCATATATATATATATATATATGGCCACATGACTTATTGATATGACGATTTAGCAGAGTATTGAGTCTGGTTATATTTTAGCAGCATGAGAAAGAAATGAAAGTGTCAGTTGAGCTACTTGGAAGGGTTCCAAGGGTCATTTCATTGCTGTGGTATCATGCAATGTGGCATGAGATAGCTATTCTATGGACAGCACTTCCAACTTTGGCTTGAGAAATTGTGCATCTTCTGAAATAGTGTGTCTACTTTGGCTGGTATGCATTTTGAGTAGAAAACTGGGGTGTCAAAAAGTGCTTAGATGTCAACGGGTTTGGCACCTATCAGTTTTGAGTAGAGAAATACAAATGGAATAAGTAACTAACTGATGCAGCCAACATGGTTTGGCCCTAATGCATCAACTCAATTATTTTGTTTCATTTATTATCGTTGGATCAAAACCAAGAGAAGTCTAATAGGACTTGCTATCTGCAGATTCCAACTGTCCTCCGAGAATATGGTATGACTTCAGTCACAGAAGGCATTGACGCAATTGCGACAACTCGAGTGGTTGTCACCGGAGATGTGACCAACAACTCCAAGCATGCCTTGACTGGTCACTCTTTCAACCGCTCCTACAGGTTATAGCCCATTCAAATCCAGTTTCATTTTTTCATGCTTCTGCCATTCCCTTCTTTTCTCAACAAATATCTGTATTTGCTGACTTCAGCGGGAGCGGGGCAGCAATGGACATCGTTGTGTCCAGCGTCAGAGCTTACCTGAGTGCCCTGAACAAGATGTGCAGCTTTGCTGTTGTTGCGAAAGCCAGCAGCGAGGTACCTGAGAGCGCAAGCGTTCAACGCACAGAGTGAGCTTGGCGTTCCTGTTGGTTCTCATGTGGGCTTGCGATGTAAGAGCTTGAGCAACTGTTATAGAGTGACATTTTGTTTCAGTAACAGGCTGTTCAATATTGGGGGTTTCCCCTTGTCAGTGTGGTGATTGTGCTGTTCTTTTTTTTGGGAAGATAGCCCCTTTAGCTTAGAACATGCAGGAAATTTTGGCCCTATGTAGTGTACAATTTGTGTCTTATATGAACCATACTTTCAATAATGAAATAATATTAGGGTCCATCTACAACCCCCCCCCCTAGAAATACCGGAGGTAAACCTCCCTTTTTCCGGAGTGGTGGTGGATGTGCAATACACTTGTTGCTTTGTTAGTGTGGAATAATGGTATAGAGTTACCATGTGGCGGTTTATGTTGACGCCTAAATTCAATTTGATGTTGTTTTATTTCTTTTGTTGCTTATACGGTTGTTAACTTAGTTTGTTGTTGTTTTTTGTCCTTTATTAAAAGCAGCTTTAGAAGAGTATACTTGGGGCCTCACCAACTTTTTGGGGTTGAGTGGCAAAAACCAAAAACCTTACTCTAGTAAGGCCACTGCTAAGTTGAATCACCCTCAACCCCCATATTTCAAATGGATTAAAGAAAACCCTATTTTCATGACTCTGACTAAGGCCCCTACTTTATGGTTTCTATCCTTCCCATCTCCATTTTAACCCCACATCTGCACGTAATCACCCCACCGCTCAAGCCCCCCTCTACTTCCACTGGCCACATCTGCCTCTTCGATGTCAGTAACCAGATCCGCACCCCACCACATGTCCCTTGTGTCTCTTCCTTGCCCTGATTTGGTCCCTTAAGTGAAACCCTAAATCATGCCTTCCACCTCTGAGTTTTCAAGTTCCGACTACCCTAACCTTGGCCTTTGAGCTCCGCTTGTCCGCCATTGAGGTTCGACCCCACCTCTACTCTCCTGCCCCCAGGCTTCAGCCTCGAGCTCCAGCCTCCTCCTTGACCCCGGTAGTACCCTAGCCTCCCTGGGTCTTGGTAAGTCAAACTTGTATCAAATTTTATGCCAACCCATGGATGTGTCAACCAAATGTCAATTTGGAGTATGAAATGTGAATTCTTGCATGGGAGTTTGCTTGTGAATTTATTTGAGACTATACATGTTCCTACTATGTCATTTTTTATTGCCAATTGATTTGACACTTTAGACGTGTATTTAATTGTTGTAGCTGATGTACGTTGTCGGATGATGAATATTTAATTGATTTGTATGAACTTTTTATTATAATTTATTAATTTGAATTGATGTAGTGTCAAAAGAGAGAATACGTAAAGATGAATTTAATTGTGCGAAAAGAAAGTAAAGATGAAGTAGGGGGCTACGGGTCCTGCGGGAAAGCACGAAGCGTGATCGAGCGGGAGCCATGGGCTCAAAGTAGAAATGAGCTGGGCTCGGAATCGGATTTGCCGGCCTATTGCCCTATTGGTACATCCCCCGCCATGAATTCATTCGTTCGTTGAGCTGGACGATGAATTCATTCATTCACCTCCATGAGTCATGACGCCGCTGATCATATGTTGCACGCAGTACGTGACGGCCTGTGGTAGGCCTTCAAGCTGCAGTGCAGGACGTACGAACTGGCGCCAGAATAATCTTGCGCCGCAGCCAGGACGGAGCGCCGCCGGAATCCTGTCCCGATTCCGATTGCCCGAGAAGCGGAAAGGACGATGCCCATGGGCCATGGCCGACCCGGGCTCGGAACCGGCGGATTTGCCGGCCTGTTGGTACACCCACGCCTCGTGTTATATATAGCTAAGCTACAATATCACGAGTTCACGACACCTGGGCACCTGGCCGGACCACGAAATCCTCTCCGGCCGCACGCTAGCTGCCTTCTTGTCGGCACGCCTCCCGTGCAGTGCAGCGAGAGCGACATCAAGATGGACGGCGCCGGCAACAGCTCTGGCGACGTTTCCTCGACGTCCGCCACCGACCAGCAGGGGCCTCGTGCGGACCCCGAGCGGCCGCAGCCGACGGACGACGTCTATGTCGTCGCCCTCACGCGCAACCTCGCTCCCATCGCGCCTTCTAGGGTGAGGGTGCAATTAGGCCGAAACGGCATGGAGCCTACCCTCATCTTCTTGGAGTCTCGCGACGGCGACGGCGACGCCGACGCCGACGCGCACGGCGGGTTCGGCTTCGGCTTCGGCGCCGTCCCGGTCCCGGCATCCGGCGTGGCCATAGCATGTCTGCCGGAGACGACCGTGGGCGAGGCGAGGGAGAGAGGCGAGTGCGCGGTGTGCCTCGAGGAGTACGAGGCCGGCGACGCGCTGAGGACCATGCCGTGCGCGCACGGCTTCCATGAGCGCTGCATCTTCGGCTGGCTCCGACTCAGCCGACTCTGTCCGCTCTGCCGCTTCGCGCTGCCGCCTGAGCCCTGAGGAGGGCACGGAGGCCGACGTGGACGAGGACGTACGATGATGACGAAGGCCGGGGACGCTGCTGACGACGACGGCGGCGCATTGGATAGTACCTACGATTCATGTTTGTAACGTGATGAAATGGAGATGAACTCAACATGGCGCCGGAGGATGGACATGTGGAAGATAGTACTATGGACATGACTACCGATTATGAAGTGTGGTGCTGAGGAATGAGAATTAGGCGCCTATGGTTGCAACATATCAAGCGAGTGTTTGGGCTTAGGCGATCTAAAGATTGTAGTTAGTTGGCCTATTTCTTTTTTTTTCTCAAGAAGACGATACAAACATATGGTAATTAAATTAAATTGCTTAAACAGTTGGAAACGTAAAACCACAATCAATTTCATCTGTTTTACGTTTTCTTAGAATTTATTCTATATATTTGTGGTTTGAGCTACCATTTTCATTTTTCTAAGAAAAAGAATGTAGCTAAAATTTTCGTTTTTCTAAGAAAAGAATAAATTCTCGAAGATTGACCATAAGTAAACGATAATTACCACTTCCGTTTTCATCCTACACACCGCGCCCTAATAGTCAATTTCCAAAGACTTGAGGTGGGTTGCTGGAGTGTGTTCTCGCATCTTCTTGCACTATGGCAGCGGGCAATCTTGCATAGTTGTGGTCGTTCTGACATAAGGAGGCTCTTTGAGGATAGCTAGAGGTGGTACTTCTAGTGCAATTGATATCTATAATATGTTGGCGAGTTGTGGGCAATATAGGCTACTAGATAGATGAGATGCATTGGCCATATCTCGGAGGATGTGAAAAGCTTAGTGGTCGCCCAATATGGTGCTTGTGTATTGGCTTGGCGGCTTTGCAACGGAGTACGGTGGCTAACCCAATGTGGCAGGGTAAGTATAGTGTAGGACATCATCGACGGTGTGAGTGGCAATGACGACACGAGTGCCATATGGCTTAGAGCTTACTGCGGCGAGTGGAAATGGCTTGGTGTGTGACATTGTCGGTAATGACGGCGCAAGCAATGACGATGACATGTCCACATGATTCCTTTATGTTTTTGTGACTATGGTGTAGTGTGGTGACCAACATTTGGGGGTATGGTGCTTCTGGAGTGGCGGTGGATGCGCAACCACTTGTGTAGAGGTGTTGTACAATGCATGTTGAGGCCTCAATTCAAGTAGACACCATTGTTATTTATTTATTTTCCATTGCTTGCAGTTGTTAGCTTAGCAAGCATCCCTGTTTTAGTCCTTTAAGAGCAACTCCAGCAAATACCAGACGTCTAGGACTCACCTACTTTTGGCAATTGAGTGTCAAAAAACTTACTATAGTAAGGCCATTCCTCAGTCCCTCAAACGTAGGAAGTCCTCGGATCACCCTCAAATCTTTATTCCCATGACTCTCTGTAAGGTCCTTACTTTACGGTCTCTATCCTTCCCATATAGATGGCCCTTCGGGCCACCCCGCCCAGCACGGCACGAGCCCGTGCTCGGCCCGGCCCGATGATCATGGGACGGCACGGCTTGTCAGGTGCATCGGGCCGTGCCGTGCCAGCCCACGGGCGGCACCAACGGCCCAAGCACGGCCCTAAAGGGGCTAGGCCGTGCTGAGCCGGCCCGACGGCCTGCTGGTCAGACGTGCCTGAGTCGGCCCAGGAGCGAGCTGCTACGTTGCAGCAGCGGGAGCTGCTGTAGCGCCGCTGCTGCGCCACCGCCAAGCGGTGGCCATCGAACGCGAAGGAGCTGCGCCGGCGCCGCGGGAGGAGCTGCCGCCGCCAGGCACTGGCCGTCGAGTGCGTTGGGCGGAGTCAGAGGAAAGCGAGGAGGTAGCGGTGGGGTGCCCGCGGAGTCACGCTGCGGCGCTGCGCGAGCCGAGTCGGGGTGCGGCAGCTGGGTGTGGGAATTAGGAATTAGGGTTTGGTTTTTATACCTAAGTTGAAGGTGGCTGTGAAAGGCCTTAACAGGCCATCTGCAGATTGGGCTGGGCGGCATGACGGGCTATGCCCAGGCACGGCCCTAGGATCGGGTCGCTGGCCTGGGCCCGACGGCCACCGGGCCGTGTCGTTCCTGGGCTGGGCCAAAAGAGCAGGCTGTGGGCGGGCCATCAGGCCTCGGGCCTTATGGCAAGTATACCTTCCTATCCCCCTTCTAACTCTACACCCGCATAGAATCACTTCATCATCCGAGCCCCCCTCTATTGCCATTGGTTGGATCCACCTCCCTGCCGCCCGATAATTAGATCCTTACTCCACCCTGCCTCCCTGATGTTTTCTCTGCCCGATTTTGTCCCTTAGGTGAAACCCTAGCTCGTGCCTCCCACCTCTGAATTTCCATGCTTGAACCGCCCCCAACCTTGACCTTTGACGCTTCGAGCTCCACGCGCCCACTACCAAGGTCGGGCCCCCAGCTCCTGCTCTCCTACCCCCACGGTTCGGCCTTGAGCTCCAGCCTGCTCCTCGGCCCCAGCAATACCTTAGCTTCCACCCGGCCCCATGTAAGTCCATATCAAATTTTGTGCAAATTTATTCAGTATGTTTGTACATGGATGTTGCTATATGAACCCATGGATGTGTCAACTAAATGTCGACTTGGAGTATGAAATGTGAATTCGAGCATGGGAGTTTGTTTGTGAATTTATTTGAGACTATCCATTCCTATGTGTGTATCTATATGATGTTGACGGATGATAAGATTTAATGTAATAGTTGTGGGATTATGAAGAGTTAATTGATTTGTATAAACTACATATTATAATTTGACTTGATGTAGTGTCAAAAAGAGAGAATACATGTATGGGTGAAAAGAGAAGATGAAGTAGGGGCCTGATTCGAGGGACTTTAACGGAGTTAATTGTTCTGTTCTGTTCAGTGTGAGCTGGTGCTCTTGCCTGATTGTTTTTTAAGAGAAAAAGAAACAAGTCTCTACGTAAGTTTCGTTGAGCTGGACGATGAATTTGTTCACCTTCATGAGTCGTGACGCCGCCGATTATATGTTCAACCGCCCAAGGTGTTTGTTCAACACGAAATGGCCGAAGCTTAGCGCCGGAGCCAGGACGGGGCGCCGCCGGGGAATCCTGTTCCGATCCCGATTGCCCAGAGTGCAAAGGACGCCCATGGACGACCCGGGCTCGGAATAGGATTTGCCGGGCTCCCACACCTCGTCTTATAACTACAAGGACTAGGAGTCCAGCGAGCGCGCAATCGCGCATCGTTCCTGTTACAACTACCCGGCCGGCCCGTTCATCTTCTCCGGCCGCGCGCTAGCTGCCCTCTTGCCCGCCCGCCTCCGGTGCAGAACGAGATCAAGATGGACAGTGACGGCGACGGCAGCAGCTCCGGCGAAGTTTCCTTGACGGTCGCCGACGAGGGGCCTCGTTCGGACCTCGAGCTGACGCAGCCGAACGCGTCGCCGCCGCCGACGGACCTCTCCCCGGAGAATGTCATCCCTCAAATGCGGCTCTACGATCGCACCATGCTGCCTCACAGGGTGCAATCAGACCCAAACATGGAGGCTGCTGAAGTCTAAGTCTTCGTCTTCGTCTTCGTCTTCGGGCCTCGCGACGACAGTGACAGGGGAGACCATCCGCGGCACGGCGACGCCGGAGCGTACGACGACGACGAGTACGGCAGTTTCGTCCTCGGCGCCGTCCAGGCATCCAGCGTGGCCATAGCTTGTCTACCGGAGACGACGGTGGGCGAGGGCGAGGCGAGGGAGAGCGGGGAGTGCGGGGTGTGCCTCGACGAGTACGAGGCCGGCGAAGCGCTGAGGACGATGCCGTGCGCGCACGGCTTCCACGAGCGCTGTATCTTCAAGTGGCTCCGTGCCAGCCGCCTCTGTACGTATTACAGCTGTAGAGAAACAGCCATTCACCCGATGCAACGGGGCTTGGTCAGGTGTTCCATTCTAGGCCGTCGTAATGTGTGCTGGGATTCCAAGTCTTCCTAGCTCTTGGGCTCTTCTCGGGTGTCCGCAGCCTGTACCGTGACATTCCCCCCTCCTTAAAACACGGCTTGTCCCCAAGCCGTTGTGGAAGTTAGCTTCCGTGGAACTTGATCTACATTGACCCAGGTGGATATTTCAACTAGTAATCCAGCCCACTTGAGTAGAACCTGAGTAACTGCTCTGTTTCCTTTGCATGGAAGGTGGTATGCCACTATCTCCAGAATCTGCAGATCAGAGACAGTTGGTGGTAACGAGGACCCAATATGAATTGTATCTGCTGCTTTCGTCAGTAGTGCAATATGAGTGTATAGCAGTAGCGTCAGGTATGCAATTCGATCAGCTCTCACTGCTTCTTCAGCAAGGTCAATACAGACTGCTTGATAGTGGATTGGCCAATAATTGACTAATGGATGTTACGAAGAGAAGCTGTCACCCATAATTCACTCAGCATGTAGGTTATAGGGGTTCTCAGGTACACAAACAGATCATGTTGACTGAATTGGAAAGAAACCCAAAGTCTGAGTTGTCGCTCTTCTGAATCTTCAGTGCTGTTCTCGTTCACCTCGAGTAATTTGAGCTCTTGCTGCTGCCAGCATATCCTCTGTGTTTGCACCCTTGTAACAGTTTCAGCATACTTGATGTCATGTGGAGTCCAATATGTATCAACAGAATCACTGAACTCTATAAAAATCTCAAGCTGATGCAACACTTGACGCACCATGAGTGATTGGTCGACTTTCTTTGATGAGGTGCAAGCAAAAATCAGAAGCAATGCCCAAATAGAACAAGTATCCTTGCTGCTTGCAACAAAAATTAAGTCCACAGTTTTCTTGTAAGGTAGCAGCTACTCCTGTTGGACTTTACAACTGATATGCACTCATATTATTCCAGAGTAGCCATAGATTAACCTGTGCTATTAACCATCCACTTTTAATACCTCCACACGCCATCTTAGTTGCAAGCACCATACAACCAATAGCGTATGTCAGCAAATTGCAGTGCCCATGAGTTAAGTTGCCCTCACTCAAATCAAGTTGTGCATAGTTCCCCTCTAGCTGAAAAGCGTAACTGCTAACCAAGTGCATGCAGAATCTTTGAATGTATGGTGGCCAAGGTTCAAATTCCCATGAGATTCCAGAGAGCAATTTGTAAAGCACAGGATGGGTAGAACTTGTGACTAACATAAGAGCAGCAAGAGCACTAGGATTGTACAGTCTAGAAATAACTCTGTACTTTTCTTGGGATGGAGATAGATCAGGGAAACTTATCTGGTACTTCATCCAAAAGTATGTGAGTAAATAAAATCCCCCATTCAAGAGCATAGACATGCCTGCAATTAGAATCTCAGTGAAAAGCCAAAGCTGGAAAAAAATTGATAGAAATAGATCAACAGCTCTACTTCTGTTGCCCTCATCAACTTGTGCATCACTTTGAAGAAATCGAAGCCAATGCAGTTTGCACATGTGGGTCTCCCAATATGCCTCTAAACATGAACTACCTGTATTTGGCCAACCCAAGCCACAACTGATGCATGGCTGCAGCATTATCAAATTTTGTTCAGGTGGTGGCCACGGTTGTTTCAGCTCTAATACCTCCACCATCCACAAACTGAGCACTGCAACTGTTTGTACTCTGGCATAATCTTGGTTGAATAATGGCCACGGTGCAGGACGTAGCAACATGCCATTACCAGGGACCGCTGCCTGTGCCGGTGGTGGCCATGGCAACCATAGCATCATGAACTCACTAACAGAAACATTCTCAGTAGTGGTAGCAAGAATTTTCCCAGCCCCCTTGCTGATGTCAAATAGACAGATGACTATGTCTCGTGATGAGTTGCTGTCAAGTGCGTTGGCAGGCAATGGAACGCCGTGTCACAGCCGCAACATCGCATTGAGCCCATCGTGAGCACCACCATGCCGAGCTCAGTGCTTGTATGAGGGAAATTGAGGATGGATCCCAATGGTAGGACAGACGTCGATGAAGCCCTGAGAGGTGTAGATGACGCAGTCGCAAGCTTCATAACATTAGCATTCAGGCCCATTGCCGGAATGTCGGCGGCCTGGTAGGGACTTGGTGTCGAACACCTTGTGTGCGCCATGACCAGGAGCTTGGTGACGCCGATCTGGGAGTCAAGAGCCGTGTCCTGGCTAGGAGCAGGGGCTGCGGAAGGGGTGGGAGAGGCCAAGGCGGCCGTCGCCAGGTTGCTGCTGGTGATGGAAAGGACGCGCTCGCGGTCGTCTGAGCTGGCGATGGGTATGGCGAGGCTGATGTCGTTGTTGGCGAGCACGAGCGTGGAGGCCGGCGAGTTGCCGACGTTGCTGAGGGTGAGGAGCGGGCAGGCGAGGCACGGCAGGCGGGCGTGACCCTGCTGCTGCAGGCGGGTCTGCTCCAGCAGCCTGTCAAGCGACTTGGGGACGAGGCCGCAGAAGCGCTTCGAGTTGAGGCGGAGGACGGCGTGATCGGCATGGTCGACAAGGAGCGGTGCAGTGCGCCAGATAGGGCTCCAGCGCCGGGGAGCACCGCCGTGCGCGTGGCTTCCTTGATGGGGAGGCGAGAGGCGATGTCGCGTAGGAGCGAGTCGGGGAGGCGGCTGAGGCGGTCGACGCCCCCGCCGTCGGCGTCCAAGAGGATGCCGAGGTGGCCGTCGATGGAGGCGGGCGGGTCAGGGAGCTCGGTGACGCTCGACTGGAAGCCGGGATCCGCGTCCATCGCGGAGGCCGTTGATTGCGTGCTGTTGGGGAAGCCCACGGATGCACGAAGTCCTCGCTCCTGGTCCTCACCGCTGACGGCGATGTAGGTGGGGATCGATGGAGGGGATGAAGGAGTCGGTGGCCCAGCGCGGATCCCCAATAGAGCATCCACCTCCTCCAGCTTGGCTAGGATCTCGGCCAACATCTCTTCCGTCGTCATCATGAACTCCGGCACGGTGGTGAGACTCCCTGGATCGAGCTGAATCCCTAAACCAGATGTAACGATACTGGATGTATATTACAGGATCACAGAGAAACACAAGTAGCTAGTCTAACAAGGATAAGGTAGTAATCGATCTCGAGCAGATGCTCGCCGCCGTCTCGAGCCGCTGCTCGCCTGTTTTTCGATTACAACCAAATCAAAGTCTCTCCTTGCCTCTCCCCTCCCTTAAGTATCGTCACGTATTACAGCTGTAGAGAAACGTGTGCTGGGCTTCCAAGTCTTCCTAGCTCTTGGGCTCTTCTCGGGTGTCCGCAGCCTGTACCGTGACAAATTTTGTCCCCTTATCAACCCCCGGGGGATTAACCGACCAAGTCCGAGTCATGTTCTGAAATCATGATGGCGGTTTACAGGGTCTTTCTGTCTAATGCGTGTCAAGACGTCAAGTAATCAGAGTGAATTTTGTGCAGATGGATACACATCTTGTGTGCTGCCCATTATAAGCTTTGGTTTAGCCGTTTAGGCAAGCTGATTGGCTGCGTCAGTCATATATGAACATACTGTTACATCTAACATACTACTGGATCTCATCACTTCTATGCAATAGCCAACTGCTACTAGCTTCTCTTGGATGTTTCCACTACTGTATGTATTTCAGTTGCTTATTATTACAACACGCTTAAGCTTGATCTTGCTAAGCTACAACCTACAAGTGCTGAACAAGACTGGTGCTGTTAAAGAATGAACAACTGTTCAAAGTGACACTACGTCTGTTAATGTTCATGCCATCCATCTTCCCCTCTATCTATGACTGTAACTCTACTTTGTGTGAACAATTTTGCCAAAACTTATATAAAGGGGTTAAGGGAATGCTTGGTCTCTATGATTTGGCCTTATTAGAGAGTTCATGAAACTTCTGTTCAGATTGATTTTGCTTCTGCAGGTGTAGGTGTACTGTATCTCTGTTCTTTTTGTTATGCATCTTAAAGTCATGTTCCCTAATAAGGATCCAAGCCAAAACTCACCGCTGCAAAATGACACCATGACCAAACATCGTCTAATGCTCCGGTAGTCCGTTGCATGCGCAACATATCAGCACACATCATCAGCGTGTGCAACACGGGGTGGGCACCAATTTTCTAATGAAAAAAAAAGGGAACCAAGGCAACCAGATTTGGGGATAACCAGAGGTGGTATGTCTAACACAATTGATATATACAATATGATGGCGGGGTTGTGGGCAATATAGGCTGCTAGAGAGTTGTGGGCAATATAGGTTGCTAGAGAGCAGTGGCGGACCAGGATTTATAAAAGACTAGGCCAAATTTGAGCGGCTAAAAACTGAAAGCCAGGAATAAAGTCCTAGTCCTCTTCATATTGATGTAACTGGAATCAAACCTCTACGAACAGAGAAGGATTGAAAATTGAAATTGAAAAACAATGCAAACCAGGGTTGCAGCTGCTCTGATCCTCAGTAGTCACCTGTCTTCCTAGGGGCTAGGACGGCCACCGCTGGGGCTGGGGGCTGGGGCGCTGCCTCTTTGGGCGGCGGGCGGGCACCGGGCAGCTGGTGACCGGCCGAGCCGCCGAGGGCGCAGACGGCAGCCGCGCAGGCCAGAGCCGCGGAGGGCGGAACGGAAAAGGGCTAGGGGCGGATCGAAGATGAGGAGCGAAGGCCGGAGGGAGGCAGGGGGCGATAGCGACGCCCTTGGCGGCCAGGCGGGCAATGGCGTGACTCCAGACGGAGCGACGAACGAGGATGAGATGCGACTCATGAGCGAGGTGGCGTGAGTCGGGTGAACATGCTGCCGTATTCCCAGCTGGGTTGACTCCTTTGTTGGACTGATGGGCCAAAAAATTGAAGAGTTGCTCCCTATTTATTTGGGCCACGACTAGGGCCATGGCCCTACTAGCCCTAGTGTTGGGTCCGCCAATGCTAGAGAGTTGCGATGTATTGGCCAGATCTTGGAGGACGTGGACGCTTAGTTGTGGCCCAATATGGTGCTTGTGTATTGACTTGGCAGCTTGCAACGGAGTATGCTAGCTAACCCGACGTGCCAGGGGTTAGTCCAGTGTAGGACATTGTTGACTGACAATGCAAGTGACAATGATGGCATGAGTGCTATAAGGCTTATAGTAGACTGCGGCGGCTACATGTATGGCTTGGTTCTTGACGTTGTCGGTAATGGTGGCATAAGTGATGGTGATGGCATGTCGACATGATTTCTTTATATTTTGTGACAATGGTGCATGTAAGGTGGTGACCGACAGGTGATGGTGTGGTGCTTCTGGAGTGGCGGTGGATGTGCAATCCACTTGTTGCTTCACTAGTGTAGTAGAGTGGTGTAGTGTTGTCGTGTAGCGGTGTTGTGCGGTGCATGTTGAGGCCTCAATTTAATTGGACGCCGTTGTTATTTTATTTTTTTCATTGCTTGAAGTTGTTAGCTTAGAATTGTTTTTTGTCGTTGAGAAACTCTAGCAAAGACTCTACTTGTGTCCTCACCTACTTTTGGTGGTTGAGTGGCAAAAACCTTACTAGAGTAAGGCTATTGTTTAGTCCCTCGTATCATCCTTCAACCCCTTATTCCCATGACTTCCTCTAAGGCCCTTACTTTACAATTTCTATCCTCCACACCCCCTTCTAACTCTACACCCACACAAAATCACCTTGGCATCCGAACCCCCCTCTACTACCACTGGCTGGATCCACCTCCCTACCGTAGGTAATTAGACCCTCACTCCACCCTGCCTCCATGTGTTTTCCCTGCCCGATTTTGTCCCTTAGGTGAGACCCTAGCTCGTGTCTTCCAACTCCGGATTTCCATGCTTTGACCACCCCCAACCTTGACCTTTGAGCTCAGTGTGCCCACTAGCAAGGTCCGGCCTCGAGCTCCAGCATGCTCCTTGGCTCGAGCAATACCTTGGCTTCCACCTGGCCTCGGGCAAGTCAAACTATATCAAATTTTGTGCAAATTTATTCAATATGTTGTACCAAGTTTTTAAATCTCTAGCTATAGCTGTTTGAGAAGGATTTAGCTATTTTTTCATATACAATTTAGTTGTTAGCTACCATTGTAATGTCTTAGCCGATGATTTAAAACACTGGTTTGTACATCGATGTTGTTATGTGAGCCCATGGATGTGCTAACTAAATGTCAATTTGGAGTATGAAATATGAATTTGAACATGGGAGTTTGTGAGCTATTTGAGACTATCTATTTCTATGTTTTTTTATTGCTAGCTGAGTTGCCACTTTATGTGTGTATCTAACTGTTGCAGATGATGCTCATGGATGATGAAGATTTAATTGAACAGTGGTGGGATTATGAAGAGTTAATTGATTTGTATGAACTACATATTATAATTTGACTTGGTGTATACTGTCAAAAAGGGAGAATACATGTATGGGTGAAAAGAAAGAGAAGATGAAGTAGGGGCCTGATTCAAGGGACTTTAATGGAGTTGAGTCTGAAAAATAAGGCTTAAATAAGTAGAGGAGCCTTGAAAGTTAGGTGGTTTTTAAGAAACCCTTGAAAGTTAGATAGCCCTCAAATCAAAAGTAAAGCACTGATTTATTTGAGGCCTGTTATATTGCTGGAGCCTGTAGATACTCTTCGTCGTTGTTAGATCCTTCGCCGTTGTTATAAGCTCCATTGTTCTGTTCAATGTGAGCTGCTGCTCTTGCATTGCCTGATTTTTTTTTCCAAAAAAAAAACAAGTCTCTACGTAAGTTCCGTTGAGCTGGACGATGAATTTATTCAAGTTCATGACGCCGCCGATCATATGCTCAACCACCCAAGGTTTTGAGGTGTAGTGCTGCACGACATGGCCCAAGCTTAGCGCCGGAGCCAGGACGGGGCGCCGCCGGAATCCTGCTCCGATTCCGAGATTGCCCGGAGTGCAAAGGATGCCCATGGCCGACCCGGGCTCAGAATCGGATTTGCCGGCCTCCCACGCCTCGTCTTATAACTAGGACTAGGAGTACCAGGGAGCACGCATCGTTCCTGTTACAACTACTACCCGGCCGGCCCGTTCATCCTCTCCGGCCGCGCGCACTAGCTGCCTGCCCGCCTCCGGTGCAGAAAGAGATCTGTTAAAATCTTAGGACGAATAGGAGTAGATCTAGCGGGTAATTTGACTTGCATTTATGATAAAGCAACCTAGAACATAAACGGAGAACGATAAAGTAACCTAGAACATGAACCGGAGAGAGAGAAGGGGGGGGATTGAAGTGGCTGACCATTGGTGGGCTTAGCGGAGGAGCTCGCCATGGCGACGGAGTCGGTGGTGCGAGGATGAAGAGGTGGCGCGAGGAGTCCGACGGCAGTGTAGACGTCACGGTCCAAAGGTGACGAGGACGCCGGGGTTGATGCAGCGGCGGCGGTAAGGATGAAAACGGTCGAACTCGGTCGAAAAACTCCTCAACCGTTTTCTACTTTTACATTTAAAATACGAAAGCGAAAGCGAAAGCGGACAAGCCGGACACGAAAACGAACACGAACTTACGGAATATCTAGAATTTCGGAAATGAACCAATTCGAACGGAATTATGTCGAACACGGTCGGTATGCGAAAATTCAATATGAAATACCGACCCACAGTGCATAGCATTAAACAAGTGCACAACCAAATACATAACAAGTTCACAACTAGCAAGTGTATGATCTAGTTCAAGTGCATAACATTAAACAAGTGCACGACCAAATACATAATAAGAGAGATGAGGTTGGGGCCATCTATAAGAGAGGGCAGCTAGCCACCGATAGAAAGAAACAGCAGTTGCGTGGGGCGACTAATTGATCATATGACACATGATCGATTGGCCCATTCGGTTTAAACCGAATTTTGAATTCGAATATTTCAAATTAAAAGTAGAAAAATAGAAAGCGGTCGAAAAATGTAAAGTTTTCTACTTTTACATTTGAAATCTGAAACATCTCAAATGCAAAAGAGCAGTAGAGTTGGACAAGAAAATGCGGATTCGATCGGATTAAATATAAAAAACGATGCGGTTCGGTTCGGGATATTTCCGTTCCGTTTTCATCCTTAGGCGGCGGTGAGTCTTCACGTTGCTGGCAGCGCCCCCTCTCTAGATCGGATTAGGGTTTTTTCAGTGGGGTTTGTGGCGGCACGGTGAACCCGACCAGTGCTGCCCCCCCACCTCCTTTTATATGGTCTTTGTGCGGCGACGGGGCCACCAACCGCGGTTGGGCGCCCCGATCGAAGCGATCAAGGCCCGACTTCGGTCGTTGGAACGAGTTGGGAGGAGATCAAACCTAACAAGATCAAGATGGGCGGATGCTCTCTATCTCGATGGCGTTTCCTCGATGGCGGCCGACGAGGGGCCTCGTCTGACGCGGAGGAGGAGGAGCGAGGCGGACCTTTACTTCATGGAGGAGGATGCTCTCTATCGGCTCTACGTCCGCACCAGGAGGAGGAGGAGGAGGTGGAGGAGGACGAGGACGACGGAGCGTACGCCGCTTTCATTGTTGGCGCCGTCCCGGCATCCGGCGTTGCCATAGCTTGTCTGCCGGAGACGACGGTGGGCGAGGCGAGGGAGAGCGGGGATGAGTGCGCGGTATGCCTCGACGAGTACGAGGCCGGCGACGCACTGAGGACGATGCCGTGCGTGCACGGCTTCCACGAGCGCTGCGTCTTCGGCTGGCTCCGACTCAGCCGCCTTTGCCCGCTCTGCCGATTCGCGCTGCAGGCTGAGGTGGACACGGAGATCGACGACGAGGAGGACAGAAGGGACGCCGGCAACGACGACGACGACGACAATGGCAGCGCATTGGAATACCTATAATTCATGTTCTTATTACATGATGATGAAGATGAACCCGCCATATTATTACCGCCATGTTATTACCCTGAAACAAGTTTTAGACAATTGTGATGCTCATTAAGTCTTGTTCGGTATGGATGAGCTTGGAGACAATTGAGAGTCAGTTTGGATGAGAGCTCGTATCCACTCCAACACACATGGATGTGTGTGCATCTAAACAAGACATGAAAAGGAATTGAGGGCTATTTTATCCCCCTGATCAATTATCCGAGCAAGCCCAAATCACAATTGTGAAATTATGATGGTGGTTTATTGCTCATGCATGGTTTTTCTATGTAATGCGTGTCAATTAATCAGAGTGAATTTTGTGGTGAATGGTGATGTAAACCATGTGCTACTCATTATAAGCTTTGGTTTAGCCGTTTGGGCAAGCTGATTGGATGCGTCAGTCATATATATGAACACATACTGTTACGTCTAACATACTAGCAGGTAACCCCGCGCTTCGCGCGGGCAACAGTGGACGCATTGAGGGCAAAAAAAAAAAAATGTTCCTTATCATGTCGGATACTATTCATCGTGATCCGTAGCAGGCAACCCCACGCTTCACGCGGGCAACAGTGGACACACTGAGGGCAAAAAAAAAAAATGTTCCTTATCATCGCGCGGGCAACAGTGATTCGATGTGATAGGCTTTAAATTTATAGTCTCTTATAGATTAGCTGGATCTCAGCACTTCTATGTAATGGCCAACAACTGCTACTAGCTTTTTTTCTTGGATGCTTCCACTACTGTAATTCAGTTCCTTATTACAACGCGCTTAGGCTTGATCTTGCTGAGATACAACCTACAAGTGCTGAACAAGATTGGTGCTATTAAAACTCCATTAGGGCCGGGTCTCATATGGGCTGAGCGATGGAGAACGAACAACTGTTCAAAGTGACACTGATCCCTCAGTTAATGTAGTAGTTCATGCCATCCATTTTCCCCTCCATCTATATGATTGTAATTCTACCTATAGATTGTAATTCTACTTTTGTGTACACGATTTTGCCAAAACTTAGACATAAAGGGAATGCTTGGTCTCTATGATTTGGTCTTGTTAAAGTTCATAAAACTTCTGCTCAGATTGATTTTGCTACTGCAGGTGTAGGCAGCGAATCTCTCTTCTTTTTGCTATGCGCACTTAAAGTCATGTTACCTTATAATGAATTATAAGCCAAAACACACGGCAGCAAAATGACCCAGTGATCAAACATCTAATGCTCCGGTTCATGCACAACATATCAGCACACAGCATCTGCGTGTGCAGTAGGGGGTGATCACGAATTTTCTAATAAGAAAAAAAGAAGGAACCAAGACAACCAGAGTTGGTATATTGCTGTGTATTGACCAGAAAGGGTAGCAATGGTGCAACACAACTTATATACTACTACAAGAAGCTTAGTCAAGGTACTCAGGGACCTGTTCATGGGAGAACACTGGTCAGAAGCATAATTACAGATGCGGGTAACCATGGGGATCATGCGAGCTCCAAGCCCCAGTGCCACTGCCATAACGGCTCCCAACCGTAGGATAGCTGCCATCATACATGCCTTGCAAACCCATCCCAGGAGTCGACAAAGAGGCTCCATAAGTTCCACGGCTGCTGAAACCTAAAAGTAGACTATATGTTATAGGACTAGCTGTGTTATTACTTCAGTAATAAGAATGAAAATGGGGGGAAAACTTACTAGGTGTGCTTCTCTTTGCAATATCAGCCCTCAGCTTCTCAGCCTCCTGAGCCATAGCTACAAGATCCTTCTCCATTGCCTGAACCTGTGCAGTCAGCTCTGGCTTTGCCTTCTTTTCAAACTCAAGGTTCGCCCTACAATGATACCATTAGTTAGCTGCTCTTCAATCAACTAAATACAAATACAAAAGGCAAACCAAAGGAACACTGAACTAAAAGGGCCTTGGAGGCAGCCATCAAAGTTAACACATGAACCATCATGAAAATCAACAGGCTGCATCTGTTCGAGAAGAAAGACAGTAAAATAACTTCTCAATACCTACTTACCTAGCCTGGTGCAATTCTTGATAGAGAGCATCACGTTCAGCTATCATAGCAGTCATTTTCTGGCTTTCAGATTTCTGATGTTCAAGCTCTTTCAATAGACCTTGAACCTTTGCAGTCAACTCTTGCCTCAAAGACTGTAGTTTACTTGCTTCAGATCGCAGATGCAGAGCATCTTGCCTAAGGGGTTCTAAGGCACGCAGTTCAGCTTCCAGCTTCAGATTCCTCTGAGTTAGCTCCCTCGATTCAAGCTCTTTCTCTGCCCGGAGCTTCGGAACAGCCTGACTTGAGACTTGGAGGTCTTCTTCCAAACGCGGCTTGGTTTGCCTGAGACTAACAATTTCATCTGCCAGACGCTGATTGTCTTCACGGATTCTACGCATCTCAGCACGGCGACTAGACAATTCCTCCGCCAAGCGCTGGAGAGAGAGGCCTTGTTCGTGCAAGTGGAGGAGGTGGAGCATCACGATATCCTCGAGGGTCATCATGGTATTGGCGGGATGCACGGTGCCTTCCTGCCATTTATAGCCTAATGAAGAGTAATCAGAATCCTGCGCAAGAGAGTAAGGATATGTAAAATAATGAATCAAAATATAACTCAAGAGAATATATTGTGTTCATGCTGCATGTGAGGTATAAATTCATGAGAACTGTGCAGTCACAAATACTCGAATTGAGGCCTTTCTGAAAATAACTGACACTAGATTACATGAAAACTCACTTTTCAGGACAGGTTATATCATCACAGTTCAAAGAAAAGTAAGTGAAATCAATTTCTTCAGTTAGTTGATGAGATCCATCTAACAAACAAGACCCCCTTTTTCATGCAGGTATATTTGTATCTTAATGAATATCACAAGTTTGCAACAACCATCTTTAGAGGAATATAAACAAGAAAATCGGCCACAAGCATAAAACATACAATTACAACGTTAGCTACTATCATCTATCTATCAACACGGATAGAAAAAAATAATGTGGATATGCAGAACATAACCCTATTAACAAAATAGGGGCAAAAGTGGGTACTGTCAGTTTTCATGCTGAAAACTCAGCACAGACAATTTGCATGGGGCATTGAGTATCACTATTTTTCGCTTTCATGCTGCTTCAAAAAAGAAGCGACTTCATAACGCATAACCATCCAACTTCTATGTTTGCAGAAACATGCCGCACAAGGATAACTAAGCTACATCCATCACCCACATCCAAAAGACTGAGCAACCTGGAGGTTGGTCGATCTGCTGCAATAAACATTGTTCTGGCGAACCAAGCATAAGCAACCAGATTTAGAGCAATGCAACCGCAGCGCACATAATAGCATGTCTATGGTACAGAATACCGAAGCAACAACAACATTGGTTTATCATAACATTGCAAGAAAAAAATACTCTTTTCTTGCATCAGTTGGCAACTTTTATTGTGTATAACTCAGAGGGATGCCTTATCTTTGTTATTTCTGAGTGGATACTCATATCAAGATAAAAAGGTGTGAAGAACAAGGTTGCTTGGATTACCCTGTTAAATCTTCACAAGAACAAGTGAATAACAATAGCATTGGGGAAAGATAGGCCATGCTGTAGGCTGCAGATAAAGAGGTATCCATAAAACTATACAGACCAAAAGCTGGATTACAGCTAACTGAAAATAGAAACTGTTTGGTTGGCATAAGGAAACGCAGACGCAAAGGAATGAGATAAACAGCGCTAACGTAAACAATGTAAGGAATTACTTGATTAGTTTGGTTAGCCTTGGTCGTAAGCTACTACTACTAGACAGGAAACTGCAGTCGATCGGATACTTGCATCTTGTCGTTTTGTTTTCCCTTCACTCAACTCGATGACCACGTGAGCAAAAAGGTGGACCACGGTGCCCAGGCTAGCGGAGACGGCATCCAGTATCGCGGATAGCGTCGTGGTGGCAGCGTTATCGCTTTTGACGATTACAGGAGGCCATACACCCATCGCTCGAGTCTCTTGCTAAAACTCCGGGGGTGAACCAAGCCAAGGATTTCCATCCTTGACGCTCATAGCCAACAACAAATGTATCAGTTCCTCGCCCTCGAAGCTTTCTATGCAAATTCCAGACCCTATGCCCCATGGCTCTTACATTTATTCACTTTCCAACAAAGAAGCAACCAAAGTATACTGCAATTCACAGGAACTTGCCGGATCCACACAAAATTCACACACACTTCACTGTAGGGGCGAAAGCCCCTCCAGATTTTAAAAAAAAAAAGAAAAAGAAAAAAAATCACACACAGGCGAACCCAGAAAAGGGCCTGGCTGTACACATGTACGCCCGATAAAAAAAATCGAACTTGGTAGGCATAATACATGTATACACTTGAGATTCGATCAGATCCGAATACAAATAACAAAATAGATCGAGTTAGGGTTCGGGTACTCCATTTTGCAACGCAGGAAGGGGGGAGAAGGGGCGGGGCCATACCGGGTGCGGTGGGTTCTCGTCGCCGTCACCGGCAAAGGGCGCGACGAAGCCCTGGGCCAGCTGCGCGTAAGGCGGCGGCCGTCGTCGCCCCCGGAGAGAAGACAAACAGCAGTCAGTGTGAACCCAGCAGAACAATTCTTCGGGCTCCCCTTGTTTACAGCTTGCTTCTCTCGGTGAGCGCTACTGGGCCGATTTCTGTTGCAAGAAAGCGGCCCATGAAACTGGCTCATTCTTTCTCCGTCATTTTTTCCCTTTCTTTTGCCATGATTTTTTTTCTTTTTTTATTTTGCTTTCAACTGCTTTCATTATCATGGCTTATATCACTAATAAACAAATTTACATTTTCATATCCACTAGTGAATATTTTTTCCTTTTCTATCACTATCCTAGGGTAACATTTGGTAATGGTCTTTTTAAATCTATGTTTGATTCATTTTTATAGTATTGTTATTTCATATAAATATATTATAATATTTTTTATCCCAAATTTATAGCATTTTATGGTGATGTTGGAACAAAAATTTTCATTGTGCTGGAATAAATTTCTCCTAAACATGGATCATTTTGGTCATGAAATTGGCAAAATTTCTTACGGGGCTCTTAGATTTCACTTTAGCGGGGCTCTTCGTTCGCTTAGCGGGCCTCTTCGTTTTGTTAACATTCTCCTAATGAAGTTTTTTACTTGGCATATAATTTTGGGAGTTGGCAAATTTTTTTTTCATGAAGCTAGAACATGTTGAAGCAGGTTTTTTTTCTTCTTAAGTCTTCTTAAGTCAGAACTTTTTTTTATGAAAGGCATATTCTCATATTAAAGTGTACTTGTATTTTATCATATATCATATCATTTTACATTTTAAGGTTACAATATCCTAGAAAATTTAGGACATATATTATGTGATAATAAACTAAATTACGCATGTAAGCCTTCATGTTCACTATAGTTGGGTTAGTAATAGAAACTAATGGTATATATACATGTGAATGTTTTCTTTTTAAGTTGAGTTAGAGGGTTAGTCCACCTAGAATCTCTTATGATTTTTAAGATAAATTTTTAATGCTTAGATTTTTTTTAAGAATTGGGAGAGTATTTCGAAAAGAAGGTACAAGCAGGCCCATTACGAACTAGATTAGGAGAAGACGAAACTGTGTGATGATGATCCAATCCAATGTGCACACGGCAGACGGCACGCGCCGTTTACGAACTGGGCTGGGAAACGCCCGGAGACATGGTAGCCGGCAAGCTAGCAGGAGCAGGCTTTCCTTGGACGCTAGACGAGATCTGTTCGGATTCGAAATCTTACTATAGTAATCCTGCTACCAAAAGAGGGCCAGGCAGCGTGGCCACGTCGCTTGCTTTTCCCGACCATCGGATCAGCCGCACAGACGGTCCAGATCGTGCGAGCTCTGGTCTTTTTTCAAAAAAACCTTGAACTTTAGTTGAATCAACCCGCAGTACAGGCCTCCTCTCAGATTTATTTTGAAAAAAACCTCGAACTTTACCAAAATTAGGCCTGTATATCGCCGGACCCTCTCTATCCCGACGCGACCACGGCGACGGGCGCGACCGGGGTGCGGCGGCGTCGGCCACCCTCCTCCTCCACCGCTGCTCTCCCTCGCCTGCCTCTCACCTCCATCTCGCCCTCCCCTTCCTCTCTCTCTCTCTCTCTCTCCCCTTCCCTCCTGATGCGGCGGCGGGTGCCAGGCGACGGCACCCCTGCGAGCGCAGCGACGCTGGACCTCCTCTGCCTCCACACGCCGGGGCTCGCACATGCTTCCTTCGTGCCGCCTCTAGAGAGAGGAAATAGAGCGAGAGAGAGTTGCTGCGCCGTGCTCGCGTGGCTGCTGCTGCAGCGAGAAGAGCCGTGCTCTTACCGTTGATTTTGGATGAGTCCCCTTCCTATGCTCAAAAGGTATTTGACTAAATGCCGCAGCTGACATTCTTCGCTTGGAACATTATTTTCACCAGTTGTACGCACGGCGGCATGCTAATGCAGGAACTAGCTTTTCAATGTGACATAGAGGGGCTGCCACTCTCCAGTCATCTCCGAGTGCAGCTATCAAGGGCGCATCGCGTGACAAGGTGACAACTGACAACACCAAGAACCTACTGCACTATGCCAAGCAACTTCAGGTATCAAACACATATTTCTCCCATTCTGATTTCTCTCTTTTTTTAATCTGTGCTCTACACTTACATATCCATGTGTTTTGCTAGTTTGACAAGCACATGTGCCAGCTACTCAGCTCCCAGTCCAATTTTCCTTTTGATGTGTTTAGTTTCAGGCTTACACAGATAAGGAGCTCATCGATAAAATCTGTTTTTGATTGGATCATACTTTGCATATGTCAGTTTGTAAATTCCATTAACATCAATGTGTTATTATTCACTGAAAATTGTATCTTTTATTATGAATTGTGCGGCTGCTTGTCAATTAATTGTCAGACTGTCCAATGCATTAATCACATTAATCTTATTATAATTTCAAAGTACATGTTGCTTTCAAGTTACTTTTCTTTACTGTGTATATGCTGAGCTACCGCTTGCTCCACACCTCAAGTATATTCTTGGATCTTAATTGTTTCAACTGCATTTTTTTGTAAAATCCTAATTTGGTCATTGCAGAGTGCTCCCTCCTAATTCTAATTCCATGACCCAAAGAAAAGGGGTTGGGGGAACAGAGTTTTTGAGGGACTAAGTAGATAACTCTCAACAATAATTCTTATATATATTATTCTCACATGTGAAACACTACGTTTACCATCTGCTACTTACCTGCACTCACCGTATACTTTGTTACACCCCCTGCTTATCGATCTTTCCAGATTACTACCCCACAGATTGCCTGCTACGCTTTGGAGATGCAAATTCCATTTTGCTTTCGGCTATTGCACTACTCATCTCCAAAATTAGGGCCTGTGAGAGCGAGAGAGATGGATTTTATGTTTTCTTTTGCTACGTACTGTAGTTTGTTATTCATACATGGTTTGTTTCATATCTAGCTGAGATATTGAACTGCCATTAGTGACTTCTCGTTTT